TTTTTAGTACAATTTGAATTAGAAATGAAAACTCAAACTGTACAACAATTATGAGACGGAGGGAGTACAATATAGTCAAACATTTTTTTTTAAATCTTAGCTCGTGTGTAATTTGTACATATACATGGATATTAACAATTAGGATAGAAGGTGCCCATACGTAAAATGATAGAAGTCATTAAAAATACTTATTTTTCCAAAGCACAATTTATTCAGTTTTAAAAAATTAGTCAGACGTTAAACGTATGGAGAGGAGCTTCTGACACATGGTGTAATGAAACTAAAGAGAAAAATTCGATGCCAAAATAAGGTTTTCAAATTGTCATTTTTTGGGACATTTCAAAATAAGGTTTTTATGTTAGCCGCCTTCTTCTTCTCTTTTGTTGTTTCATAGAAGCAGGATTAGAAGTTTTGGCTGACCTCACCAAAATATGAAACCAGACCAGTTATAAAAAGTATCCGTATCCCAATATTGCCTCTAAATCTGTCCTATGCATTGCACAAGAACATTCGTAGTCGAAAATAAAAAAAAAAATAATAAACGAAAACGAACGTTACCAATTTAATCAACTTCGTACCTATGCACTATATGCATATTCGAGTCTTCATATTGAACCCTATCACATTTTAGTACTCGAAATTGTTAAACTAAAAATAATATTACAAGATGTACTGCTTAAATGATATGCCTATAAAAAAATGACGAGCATCGGAATAATTAGATGGAGAAATCAGCCCTAATATGTAAAAAAATAATTGTTGAGCATCGTCCTTTTAGATGGCAGACATTTCAATATTATTAATACAGTAGGATATGGTTCCTTCAGTATGGAATCCTAAGATATGAACATAAAAATGGCTTTCTAATCAATCGAACTTCTTACTGTTCGGCCAGTTTTCGGCAAATCGGGCCGACGAGAGACATGAACCAAGACTCAGGAGTTTTGGTGGATTTATATGAAAATGATTAAGATTTTAAAGTCCTAAAATAGTCCAAAAGAGGGCATAGTACGTTTGGAAGTAATATGTAGAATTTTAGAAGGAAAGTAGAAGTCAAGTGAGAATAGAATTGTTCTAGAATCGGTTCCGTGATTAATTGACAACTAATGAAGATTCCTCCTTATTTCTTGCTCCTGTAAATAAGAAAAATTACCAGTAATTAAAGAGATATATTTGAGAAAGAATTTTATTACCAAATTAAGAGCTGATTATGAGAAGAGTCATCAACCGATTGGGAGACTGCTGCGGGAATAGTAACCTATTTTCAAGGAAATTGATCATGTTAAGCTACCTTTTCTCCAAGGAATCATAGGACAGCAAGAGTTTCGTCCAAACACTATAAATAGAGGCAGCCATGAAGAGAAAATTATCATCGATCAACCATACAACTGGTTTTCCATGTCTTTTATTATTTCTTTTACCATTTGTCATGTTTTTACCTTCCCCATGGTAGTTCATCACGTTCTATCATGCTTGCTTAGCCTCTAGCGTAGCAATAGAGTTGTTTGTCTTTTTCTTCTACATAGAATTAGGTAGGTGTTCACTGTTTTCTACTCCAACGAATTCGGTTATTTTGTAATAGGTATTCTAATACTTATGTATGTTGGACTACCCTCTGCACGTCCATCCTGTCCCTGTCTTCTGTGTAATAGCGTGTCATCGACAAGGTTTAGTCAGTGCTAATATCTTTGTTTTCTATGTAATAGCGTGTCATCAGCATCATCTATAGTTTACCGGCATTGGATTTTCCACTTTACGAGTCAAACGCCGTCTCTTCAGCTATTCTCCACTTTCTCTAACTTCCTATCCGTCTTTCTCAAACTAAAGCCAATAACCCTAAGTCCTCGATCCTGGTCTGAGGCCGGTTTGAACTCAACCACAATCGTCTGATTTAATTGTGTTTTGGGTGATTCCTGTTCCCCCTTTTTCCACGGTTTTGGGTGCATAATTATCACGCAAACATAATTTGGCACGCTCGGTGGGACTGGCTTTAGTTTGATTTATAAATCGTGGAAGTCTGACATCATACCACGGGGTTTTCTGTGTCATAAAAATTCAAAAGAGTCATTTCTTTTTTCTTTTTCATGGCGTATTTAAATACTCAAAATTATATCTTTGACACTTCTGGAGCTCCCGTCTATACCCTTGTTCCATATAGTCAGCCGCCTGAAAATTCTATTCTTGCATACACATTCCCCAACATCCAATATAGCTCATCACCACTTGGTGGGCAAATATCTCAATAACCTCTATTCACACAATCTCATATACATATAACCCATCATCACTTGGTGGGCAGATTTTCCAACAGCTTGCATCGACCCAACCTTGCTCTAGGGTTATGTATGTCGCCGTTCAACAACCGGAGCAGCAGATTAAGTACTATGACTACAGTTGGTGCCAAAATAGTGTTGATCACCAGAAAGATGCAAATCTAGTTAGTGCACCGATCCTGAATGCTTATGTCGATTACAACTCTCAAGCAACCGATTACAGAGCTATATGCCATTTTATCCAATCAGGTGATCAATATGATGAAGATCGGCAATCCAGCAGCCGATGAACGAGATCGAAGTCTGACAATGCAAGAACTTTCAAGTCTCGGGGGGCAAGTCATATTTAGCAATCGCTTACGTCAATTCGGTTGTTATGATTGGCTCGATGGTGGTCAGAGCAATGCACAAGTTCTATTCAAAGATGGTAGACAACAATCTACACCTTTTGATCATCAACCACAATAGTTTCAGCAGCCGACGGTGACCTTGCAACACCTGTCGTTGCAGTTATAGCAGAGTCAGCTATCACCGATGCATATCTAGCAGTCCCAAACACGGCCAGGAAGGTTTTAGCAGGCCAATAAGTGGATGACACAATCTATGGAGTTGCAATCGATGCAGTACCATCAGTCGCCGATGGAGTGTTCACAGATTCAGCTATCATCGGCACCAGTCCAGCAGGTTTGCTTACAACCGATTTAGCACCAGGATAATGGTGCAGCAATAGAACAGATCCAACAAATTTAGTTACAACATGAGCAAACAGCATCTACATCGGCACGTGTCCGCCGACCGTATTTGTTGCTGATGGAGTATCAGGATATTTAGTTGCCATCTGGACTAATCCGACGGGTTTGGTCATAACCAAAGTAGCCCCAGCAAACTGATCAATCGGTTATGTCATTATAGTCCCAACAGCTGACACAATGTCTAGAATTAGTTCAACAACAATCTTCGGCAGAGATCCAACCATTTTATTCATTACCAATGGAGTCTCAATTGGTTCATGAGATTTCACATTCAGTCCAATCTAAGACACAGTTGCAGCTTCAACAATGGATAGAGTCCACAGAGGCGCCAACTCAGTCATCACCAACATGGTTTTCATCTTTAGAGCAGTCACAGTCATCATCAGCAGAGTTTCGACTCACAAATCAAATAGCAAAGCAGTTGAATGAGATGTCATTATAGCCATTGTTGCACGCACAAAAACCATTGGTGCGACTTCAGCAGATTCAACCATCTCTAGTGCAATCCGAGCAAGCCGGTCCATCTGTAACACCAATCCAACAACCACTGGTATAATATCAACAAGAGCAACAGTCGGTAACACAAATCCAACAAATGCAACAATTATTATTGGTAGAGTCTGAATGGATGCTGCAATTATGAGCGTCACTCCAAGAGGTGCAATCATCATCGAGAGTGCCTCGGTGAGTTGGGCAATCAATGATAAAGTTGCAGCAGTCATCATAGTGTCAGCAAGTGCAACAATCGGCAGAAGAAAGCAGGCATCCTCAGTACATTATCAACCGATCCCACGACTAATAGATCAATCGGCAGAAGGAAAGCAGCCATCCTCAGTACATTATCAACCGATCCCACGACTAATGGATCAATCGACAGAGGGAAAGCAGCCATCCTCAGATCAGCTATCAGTTCCGATGGAACAATTAGAGCCATTGCAAGAGCCATCATTGGATAAGAAAGTTCACTTTACATTAGCCGTAGTAGCAAGTCATTTGCCGATGGAGCAAACACAGGCTAAGGAACTGCAGTCATCATCAGAACAAGATCAACATGGTCGGTAACAGGTGATATATTCCCATCAGTTTCAGCAACAGTCAGCGGCATTTCATAAGTGGGTGATGCTGTTTGATCAGAAGACGCTGCCATTTGATGAGTTCCAAGGGCAGATGTTACAGTTTCAGAGACAGATGGTGCGAAACAACGAGTTTGATAAGCAAGTGGTGCCAAGTAGATCTTTTCAAAGTATGTCTCAGTCGGAACGAAGTCAGTTGCAAGAATCACTTTTGCCAATTTATGTGCTAATACCATCAATGAAGAAATCACGAGTGCCACTGGAGTAGAATCGGTGTCCGATATTCTCAACACATGATCGGTTGTTGCAGTATTTACATCCGGATCACCAACAATACGTAGATTCTAGACAGATCCACATGACTGATGATTCCGCGGTTGCGCAGTATGTTCAAGACAAATGGTTTGCTGACAAGAAATAGATTTGTGTAGATACAAGTTATGTGATGCCAGTCAGAGCAGCGATGGGTTCCAAAGAATTCATGAACGGGATCAGCAATCCAGAATGTTGTTACTAACTGATAAAGGGCCGACTAATTTAGATGGCTGCTATTCTCAAGAAGTTTCTTGATGCCCGAGGGGCAAGTTGCTGATGATAAATCTTGCTTATTGGATAGTCATGACTTGATGTTTGAGCAAACCGTCAGACAATCAGCAGTCTATAATGATACACATCAACTTGGTGTTGTTTGTTCCACGAATCCTTACACACTCTGTCCAGAAGGTATAGGTACTTGTCAATATCATGTTGATCCAAGTTTTCAATTCGATTCTATGATTGTTAGTAAAGGTGATAGATGACAGCTTGTGAAATACCCATCATCCATTCTGAATGTAAGTGGGTTTGACAAGATTGATGATTACCAATGGCAGCTTCATATATCCATGGTGAACATAGAAAAAATGTTTGATGGTTTGAATAAAGATATGGAGTCTTGTATGAGGAAATTTGATAGTATGATGCAACACGTGTCCCAAGTTCTGACGATGGAGATAGCAATTGAAGTTTTATGTTTCAGTGATTCCGTAGATGTTAATGGCTTTCAAGATTATGTTGATCTACAAAGCGAATATGGCGAGTCTACAAGCAGTGGGGAGGTAGACGAGGAAATTGATTGCAGAGACTGGTATGATTTAGAACCTCAAGGCCATGGTGATAACAGCTTTACAGACAGTAAAATTATGGATCATCAAGGTTAAGGTTGTTCGACGATACTCAAGATCGATGTAGTTGAAACAAGTGAAACGAAGTTGCCATCAATTGAAGATGGTTTGAAAGATGTGGATACGAGTCTTGATGATCATGGTCACATTCGGCATTCTGGCCCTTCCCATCAGGTTTCGGGTTCCTCACCATTGGAGCACGAAGAACAATGTCGCTTGAATTCATCCAGGATTGATTTTACTGCTGCGAGTAAGATAAAGTTGTCATCAATTGAAGGTAGCTCAAGGAACGTGTTTCAAGATCAAAAGGACGAGTCTTCTGATGATAGCCGTGTTCGCGAGTCTGGTTTTATAGGCGACATAGCTTCAAAATTTTCAAATCTCACTCATCAAGAACAAGGCTGATTGATAATGCTTGATAGTGATGAGACTAAAGACACTAAGCCGATAACCGATGAAATGTCAGAGGGGTCAATCTGCAATGATCGGCAGCATGGGGCAGCCACCGCGACAGCTTCTGTTCCTTCATAGTTTAGTAAACAAGATAAAAGCATATTGATGGCTCTCGGTGTTGATCAAGTTAAAACAAACACGACTACATCATTGGTAGTTGGTGAAGTACCCACAGAATTGGTTTGCAGTGACAGTGATCAAACTCGGCATCTTAATTCATCGGCCGATTATGTTTCTCTTGAGCAACTAGATCAAGACCGTTTGAAGATGCAAGAGAAGGAACGGGCTAATGTGGACAAGATCAAGTTGCCAGAAGTAAAGAGTGTCCCAAAAAAAGGGGGGGATTGGTGGTAATAAAAGTCAAGTTCGGCATATTGATTCTAGTCGCGATCGAGCTGAGCAAACGGTTGCTTCTTCACAAGTCTAAAGATGCTCTAATCATGCATGGATTTATGATAAGAGAGGGTCCATGAGGTCCATGTAACATTCTTTGTTACACGCCGATAGAGCCAAGTCTACAAACTCTTTATCTAGGGCCGATTCTCTTTGTGTTGATGCTAAATCTGAGGGGAATCAAGAGGAGAAATGCATTGCTTGGCTGGATTATGGTGCTGCCATAGAATGGAAGTTTGAGTTGACGCTGATCAAAGGATCCTGAAATCATTAGCTATCAAGGGAAAAGGCGTTGCACTCGAGCTTATGCCAAACTTTTTGGGTCTACACCAAAGAGGATTAGAGAATTTCATGTTGAAAAGGTAGTGGCCAAATTAGATGATGATATGAAGCCGAAGGTTGATGAGAATAGAGAGGACGATGTAGATAATCGGTTGAAGAATGATGGAGCAGAGATAAAAGTCGTTAAGCTGATTGAAGAACGACAGGTCGAGTCACATTTAAATGATAATAATTGTCACCTCATTCATGCGGCATTAAATGAAACCAATTTGGCGTCAACAATCAACAAAGAAAAGAGTTGCAAGCAGACCGGTTCTAATACAGTTAATGGTTTTGCCATCTCTTGCCCAGTTTACATATAGTTTGGCAGTCAACCTGAGGTAAGATGCGACAAGCCAATTACTTTTCCATTGATTGTGCAAGGTCAAGATTTTTTAGCAGTGAGTGACAAGGAAGGTGCCAAGGAAAATGGTTATGATATAGTCAGTAGTGCTACCGTGACAAATCCAGTTCTTAAGAAGTTTAACTACCAATTTGAGCTACGATGCAAGAGGGTGACTACTTATTGAATTTTCAACGTCGATACTTATCAACAGTTATAAAGGAGGTCAAGAACAAAGGTGCCGTTCTTAATGTTAAAGTTCAAGATGCCGAGAAGCAAAAAGTGAGCAGTGCTTTTAGTTCTTCTACTTCGAATGGCCAATTCAGTCCAAAATCGGGCCTTGCTGTTAACATGGCTCAAAAACAGAAGAACCGTAGAAGCTATCCACAAAGGCAACGATCACAAGAGTCTAGGTCCAGGTCCAGTTCCATAACAGATAGTGATTTTAAGGGGAAGTCTCAGGCTTCACAAAGAAGAAAGCATGCACCATTCTTTAATCCCTATTATTCACATTATGTGTGGGTACCATATTACGTTATGTATCCCGTGGGATGGTGTTATGTGGATCTAAGGGCCACGTAGAATGCATCTGGATGGTGGTAGCGATATGTTTATCAAGATTCATATCAAAGTCATATTTAATATGAACGGGGGGCATTATGTTCAACCAGTTTTTGGCAAATCGGGCCGACGAGAGACACGAGTCATGGCCCAGGAATTTTGGTGGATTTATACAAAAATGCCTGAGATTTTAAGGCCCTAAACTAGTTCAAAAGAGGGCATGGTACATTTGGAAGCAATATGGGCTGATTGAGTGTGAACAGTTTCAAAATTTTAGAAGAAAGTAGAAGCCAAGTGGGAATAGAATTGTTCCAGAATCGGCTGCGTGATTAATTAGCAGCTAAAGAAGATTCCTTCTTATTTCTTGCTCCTTTTAATAAGAAAAATTACCAGTAATTAAAGAAATATATTTGAGAAAAAATTCTATTATCAAATTAAGAGCTAATTATGAGAAGAGTCATCAACTGATTGGGAGACTGCTGCGGGAATAGTAACCTATTTTCAAGGAAATTGACCATGTTAAGCTACCTTTTCTCCAAGGAATTATAGGGCAGCAAGAGTTTTGTCCAAACACTATAAATAGAGGCAGCAATGAAGAGAAAATTATCACCAATCAACTATACAACTGGTTTTCCATGTCTTTTATTATTTCTTTTACCGTTTTTCATGTTTTTATCTTCCCCATGGTAGTTCATCACGTTCTATCATGCTTGCTTAGCCTCTAGCTTAGCAATAGAATTGTTTGCCTTTTTCTCCTACATAGAATTAGGTAGGTTTTCACCGTTTTTGACTCTAACGAATTCGGTTATTCTGTAATAGGTGTTCTAGCACTTATATATGTCTGACTACCCTCTGCACGTCCGTCCTGTCCCTGTCTTCTGTGTCATAGCGTATCATCGACAAAATCTAGTTGATGCTAATATCTTTGTTTTCTATGTAATAGCGTGTCATCGGCATCACCTATAGCTTGCCGGAGCTAGTATTTTCCTATTTATGATCCAAACGCCGTCTTTTCGATTTTTCTCCACTTTCTCTAAGTTTCTACCCGTCTTTCTTAAACGAAAGCCAATAACCGTATGTCCTTGATCATGGTTCGAGCTGGTTCGAACTCAACTACAATTGTCTGATTTAATTGTGTTTTCGGTGATTCCTATTCCCTTTTTTTTTACGGTTTCGGGTGCACAATATTCACGCAAACACTTAACTTGCGCGAGAAAGAAAAAGTTTGGTAAAACTAACTTGATAAAAGTTTTTGTTGGTGTCATATCAATATTTCCTGTTTTGTTTTGGTCATTTTACACCATATCGTAATATAGAGTATTATATTTCGTTCCGACCACATATAATACTCTATCTATCCAAGACTAATAACTTGAATTGTATTATATTAATAAGTTTTTTACAAAGTCGATTTTCCTTTTCTGAAATAGAGGAAATAGCACAACTTTTTAAAAGTTTGTTACAGTTTATGTATTAGAATAGGTCAGGATGAATTGAAGCCAGCAAAAAAAAAAAAAGTTTTACATACAACTTATGCTTATAGTATTATTGTCATTTGTTGTGCTTGTAATTGAACCAAATAACCATTTTACATATCAATATATATTCTTCGACACTATGCCAATTCCTTACAAAAGAACACAAGAATCTTTTTTAATCTACGTGCGTCAAGCATGCACTTATTAATTAGGGTTCTTTCGTGAACTTATGAACGTACTGAATTGAGTCGTTTAATGGACGACTTTGGATTTGGACGGACTTTGATGTTTTTGTACGGGACTTATGATAACTTGGACAAGCTTACTTGATGGTTTTTCTTTGTCCAATTTTTGTTGTTTATACTTAATCGTTATTGTTCTATACACCTCATTTTTAGTAGTTTAATTGTTATAATTTATAATAAAAATAAATTATTAAAATGAAATGGGGAAAGTATGATTTTTTTCCCGATAAACACAAAAATCTGAAACACTTCTAATCTAAAAATGTTAACGACGTTGAAGTGACGATAAATGTGATGAATAAATTAGTGAATAATGAAAAATCGATATCACGAATCATTCGTCCGATGATTTTTCCGATTTGCAGCGGACAATATTTTAAGGTTTGGCAGGAATTGAAATGTAATTAAGAGAACTTTTGTGAAAATATCACATCAATCACCCAACCAATTTTTCCTAATGATTTCTAATTGCGGATTAGCAATGCTTACTCGTGATCTATCTCACTCCATAGTGGATTAATTACTGTTCTGTCACATGGATTAGCTTTAGAGTGAATCTCAAAACGGGTCATTGAACTATTAGGTAATTTTAATACAGGTTATCAAAGAAATTTATTTGTATAACAGGTCACCTTACTAAGCAAAATATTCATCCGAGATCATTTTGTTAATTTTGGCCATTAAATACTGACGGAAATATATTTTTCACATGCTTTTGGGTTCAGAGGTATTTTTTTCATTTTGTTATTTTTAAATTTTTATTTTTTAAAAAAAATTATTTTTTTATTTTTATTGTTTTTACAATTCTTCTTCTTATACTTCTATGCTGGTAGTATAATTTTTAAATTTTAAAAATTAATTTAAATTTTGTATTTTAACTTCTAGATTATAATTTTTTTAAAAAAAAATTAGAAAAATGAAGAAGAAGAATTCGAGTTGAAATAAACATAAAAAATAATAGTTTATCGTTTTAAACCAGAAAAGAAACTAAAAAATTAGCTAAGACAAGTTGTTTCTTCTAGGTTAATTAATATTTTCAACTCGATTTATTCATTTAATTATTAATTTTCACATTTACTTCGATTTGAATTTCTCTTCTTTATGTTTCTATAAACTAGATGTTAAAATACAAATGACAACTTAATTTTTGAAATTTAATAATTATTATAATACCAACATATACAAGTTAGGAAGTAAAAAAGAAGAATTGTTTTAAAAAAATTAAAATATTAATATATTTAAAGAAAAATACAGAACTTAAAAACTTTTCTTTTCTCTCTACTAGTGTGGGCAAAAACACACTCACTGTGTGTCTTTGACTCTGATCTTTCCAACGTGTTTTCACGTTAGCAATGGTGCGAAGATCCAAGAAGAGAGCTGAGGAAGGTGGATCAGAAGCTGGGAAAGTACAGCCGCTGGAAGAAAAAGGAGATCCACAGGGAGAATTTACACCAATTGGAGCTCGAGTTCAAGTAAGTTCTCCTTGTTTGATCTCTCAATTGAGTAGCAATTTGAATGAAACCTGTGTAAAAATGAGTACTAGAGAACAAGGAGAATGTTCTGGAGTGAAGGAATTGGCTAAGTGTCCAGATCTGGATGATAAGATTCCAGTGGAAAATGTGTGGTCGAACTTTAATCCAAAAAAGTTGAATAAGGTGGAGAAAAAATTGAAGTTTATAGAGCCTGTGGTGGTGGAAAATAGGATGATATGTCAAATTACTAAGAATGAGGTTGAAT